TTTTAAGGCAGTCCTCCGTTACACCACCAAATTGTCCCTCCCCCGTTTCCACCCTCTGCCCCCCTCCTTGGAGGGCCTGTTCCTCCCCAGTGGAAGACCATGCTGTGGATGATGGTGCCCCTGGGTGTTCAGAAAGGATTCGGAGCCTGCTCAGCAGCCACCTTGGCTGCTCTGTGCCCATGGTTCAGTTTTGAAGGTCCAAAGATTGCACACACACATGCACGCACACCGGGAATGAGGAAGGGGGAAGAACAGCAAAGACAGCCAGATGAGGAGCCCCTAAAGGCCAAAGGGGGACAGGAAAGCTCCCGAGAGCTTTTAAGAGTGGCGAGCAGAGACCCCCCGCTGCAGAAAAGAGGAGAAAATGGGTCCACTTCTTTGGAAGCTAGCTTTTGTGCAAGACTCCACCTTCCAAGGAGTCGCTCGGGTAATTGGGGGTCCACCCAGTGACAGGGTCTGCTTCCCTGTGAGTAGCCAGACTTGGCCAGGTTCACACGCTCAGGCTAGCCTGAACAGCTCCGTTGTGGTCAACGCATTATCTGAGCCCACCTCCCCCTCCCTCCCAGGGCAGGTGTCCTTTGCCACTCACTCAGGACTCCTCCATTTTGTCTTCCCCTCCTGCTCCCCACCCCCCCGGCAGACCCCTGAAGGAGAAGCTCCAGCGCCTGCAGTGTCACTTCACCTGGGATTTTGAGGTCAAGGACAAGATGGACATCAGGCACTCCCTTGTGACTCTGTCTCTCCGCCTGGAGCACGGCCCCTCCCTTAACCGGGGCACCTATCTCGCCCTGAAGGCCTACCTGCGCCATCTGGAGGGGAGCCCCAAAGAGGCCCTGGACATCCTGAAGGAAGCCAAGGAGGTCTTGCGGAAGGAACCTCAGGAGACCTTCTCACGCCAGGTCCTGCTGATCTACGGGAACTACGCTTGGATCTGCTACCACTTGATCGATTATGAGAGGGTGGACCTTTACTTGGGACAGATCCGCCAGATCTGCCGGGACCTGTCCAGCCCTGAGCCCTACTCGGCCCCGATCCCGGAGGTCTACGCCCAGAAGGGCTGGTCCCTCTTAGCCATGGGCTTCCGGAACGGCCAGCTCGCCAGGCAGTGTTTCCAGACGGCCCTGGAGCTGCAGGAGCCCAATGCGGAGCTGGAGGAGGGTCTGGCTTTCTCCACCTTTGCTTCCTGGACACACTGTTACGATGACAAGTTACATGAAGAGGGCCAGAAGTTGCTGGAAGGGCTGATCCGTAGCCAGCCCGAAAACTATGAAGCCAAAATATACTTGGCTCAGGTTCTCCGTTGGAAAGATCATGAAAGAGCGCGACATCTTGCCGACGATGTGGTCCAGAACAGTCTCAACCCGGAACTCCTGAGAATTGCCGCCAAGGTCATTAAGCTCCACTCTCACTCCCAGGCCATTTCCACCCTGAAGAAGGCCATGGCCCTCCAAGGTGACTACTATCTCTTGCACTACGACCTTGGCATCTATTACCTGGACCTCTTGGAGCGAGGATTCAAGGGGAACAGAGCGGAAATCGTGGAAGACGCCATTGAGTGCCTCAAACGGTCATTGGAAGCTGAACCTGGATCTTTGTTTTCCCGGCTGAAGCTGGCAAAGTTATACGGAGAGAGGTGCCCGCTTTACGAGGAGGAGGTCTACCTGGGCTTGATGGAGGAGCTGCCAACCGCCAGCAAGAGGTGCCAGCAGTCTTTCTATCTGCACTGGGGGGATTTCCTCCTCCGCAAGAAGGGGCAGAGGCAGGCAGCGCTGCGGGCGTACCGGGCCTGCTTGGAGGTGCCGGGGGACCACCCTCTGGAGCAGAAGCAGCTGGAGCAGCGTCTGAAAGAGCTAGCCAGGGCCTTCCGTTCTGAAGGCGAGAGGGAACAAGAGAGAGCGGTCCAGGGTCTGCTGCACGAAGTGACAACAAAGCGTTTGGCTCCTCGTTGAAATGCAGGACGGGCCCTGCTCTCATGGGAACCTCCCCAGGAGCTAGCTGGGAATATTGGGGTGCCCTGGCTGTGTGGGTGTTGTCCCCCTCACAGCCCTGAGCTGTTCTTTCCTGGGTTGTTATTGGAAAGGAAAATAATGTTTATGACCACCTCTCCCTCCTTCTCTTACCTGTTGCTCTTTAGTGCATGAAGAATCCAGGGTGAACACCAGATAATTCTTCTACAACTCCCTGCTACTTACGCACAATATTGTGCCAGGCTCTACATATCAGCGCTTAACATCCATCCGAGGACGACCTGTGCTATAAAGTAGAATTAAGGAGGATCTAGTGAAGGGCTTTCCAAACTTGGTAAATTTAAGACTTGTGGACTTCAACTCCCAGAATTCCTCAGCCATTCTGGCCGAGGGATTCTGGGAGTTGAAGTCCACAAGTTTTAAAGTTGCCAAGTTTGGAGACTCCTGGTGTAGTTCATCAAACCGGAGTGCTCTGGATTGTGATATTTAATATTCCCCTACGCCTCTGCCCCCGTTAGATACTTTTTAGTCTTTTGCTTGTTTTATAAACATACCTTCTTATAACACTCTGCGTTCCAAAATTGTTATTTGCTTGATTCTGTTGTATTTTGTTTTTAATTGCACCTCACTGTGCTGTTTGACCATAATAAAGACTGGATTGCTGTAAGTACGTTATCTTAAGATTATCTTTCCTACTCTTCTACTCTTCTCTAAGTACAGGCGCTTAAACCTGTCCACCTCCATGGCCAAATTTCCAGGGGGGATTATTGGGGGACGTGAGTCGTAGGACTGTGCCCCAGATTGTGCTTGTGTGTGTATGTGGAGGGGGGGGGGCTTTGAGAAACCATCCCTTTGCAGTTATCAACTGCACAGAAATGTCTACGCTCACCAGCACTGAAAATAGGCTTGCTTTTAAAGATTATTTATTCCAAGCAGGGGTATATGGGGTGCCCGTGGGGAGGCAATTAGCACCGTGGACAGAGGGGTCCGCTGTGCCCTTTTGAGGCCTGCTTGTTCACATTTGGTGGCCAGAAAGCTAAATGTTAGAGCTTTGGTTAACCCTTGTCTCCTCTACAGGTGTGAATCCTATACTCTGTACTGTCCACAGATGACACGAGAAATTTCACACGCACACACTTCTGCCCCATCCTCGGCATTTGTTGGCAAGTCATCCCTAACCTGGGGGACTTAGATCGCATGGTGACCACCAGCCTTGAGCCCCCAATTATTGGCACCTAGATGAGATGGATGGGAAGCATCGTCAGGATGGACGACCGCCGTGTGCCTTGCCACTTGCTCTATAGCAGGGGTAGTCAACCTTGGCTCTCTTATGACTCGTGGACTTCAACTCCCAGAATTCCTGAGCCAGCTAAGCTGGCTCAGGAATTTTGGGAATTGAAGTCCACGAGTCATAAAAGAGCCAAGGTTGACTATCCCTCCTCTATAGGATGTTTTTCAACCTTGGTTGCTTGAAGTTGTTTGTACTTAAGCTTCCAATGGTGGCTGGGCACATATTCAGGTGGCCAAGGTTAAGAAATACTATTCCAGTGGGTAGTGGGAAGAGACCAGAAGGTCAGTCACACAAGCGCTACAAAGACACTGAAAAAAAAAATCGTATGCTACCGTCACATTGAAGCTGCAACTGACCGTATCTGCTGGTGAGCCCTGAATGATGAAGCCTCTGCTGACTTTCAAGACAGACCCCACCAAAAACCAGGAGAAAAACGGTAAGTGGTGTGACTGAATCGCCCGCCGTTAGTGCAACAATGGACTTCCATTGTCCCCGTTGGGCTACACCGTGAAGAATGGTTGCAGGAATTGGGTATGTCTAATCTAGTAAAGAGAAGGACAAAGGGTGACATGACAGCAGTGTTCCCGTACTTGAGAGGCTGCCACAAGGAAAAAGGGGGTCAACCTATTTTCCAAAACAATGAGGGCAGGAAAAGAAGCAATGGATGGAAACTAACAAAGGAGAGAAGCAACCTAGAACTAAGGAGGAATTTCCTAATAGAACAATTAATCAATGGGAAGTTGTGGGTGTTCCATCCCTGGAGGTTTTTAAGAAGAGGCTGGACATGGTATAAGATCTGCTTGAGCAGGGGACTGGACTAGAAGACCTTCAAGGTCCCTTCCAACTCTTATTCTGTTACTTGAGACTGACTGCAGAGTCAGTCTGTTGTGGGTGACAGCCTAGAAACCAGGAGACAGTGATTTCTAGACACACCGTAGGCATGAAACCAGCTGAGTGACTGTGCGGATGTCTACTGTGGGGACCCCCACCCCTACTACAATTATCAGACTCTTCAGACGATGTGGCCAACAGCTGCTAGGTGGCATCTCTCATACATTGTCCGAGAAAGTGTCCCAGTAAAAAGCCAGATTGAAAGCACGATCCGGAGATTGCCAGCAAGAGGGCCAGGAGCCCTTCTAGATAGCTCTGGATTAGGTCGGTGCAATGAGAAGGGCCCAATTTGCTACCAAGGAGCGCTTTGCAATTGGACAATAAAGGATTAGTATTTTCCCACCAATCTGGTTAATGGAAGGTGAAAGGAGACGGCAAAGAAGTGTCTGTGTGTGTGTGTGTGTCTGTGTGTGTGTGTGTAGATATGTACATGTGCATGCTTGTAATTTTAACCTGAAGGCCCAGGAAGAAAAAAGAGATGGATGAAGAATTGTGTATATCTTTGACCCATAATGCAACCCACACAAGACAAATCGTAAACTTTCCCCAATTATTTGGTTTTGCATCATTAACTACAGTTCATCATTCAAACTTGCTGTTTGTTCTGGAATGTGGCATGGAAATCCTTTCCCCGTTTTCGCCTCGTTCATGAGGACCGAGGTCCAGAATTTTCAGACACAAGAATCCATGACCAGGGGTAGCTTCTACCCTTGCATGGTAGCTGCATGTGTGAACCTGTGTGTTGTGTTTCGGTTGAGTGGGAAAGGAGCCTCCAAAACAGCTTTGAAGGTGCCTGTCCAAGGTCCATGGGTGTCCCAAAAGGGAGTGAAGGCCAAGCAAGATAGTCCAGTTCAGAGGGTGCCGTGGACGATGGAAGGACAGGCCTCTGGGAGGATGCAGTGGGCCTGGTGCTCTACGAAACCTGCTGGGCACTGGCAACCTGGCACACAGGGCTTAAAGCAGTGGGACTCCAGCACCCCCAGGGGTATAGCGTGGTTGAAGCAGGTCTTGGGGCAGGGGGGTCCACACTCATCGAAGATGTAGCCCCGCTCTTGGGGACAGCCCACCGCTGTGAAGAAATAGAGAGGTGGGGGATTAGTAGCAGGAAGGAGGGAGAGGCCAGGTGGGATAGGACTGTACCACTCCAGAGAGAGGCAGGGTGTACCACGTACTCCGTGAAGTTTGAGATAAGACTAGGGCAGGGCCAGACTCGGGGAGGGAGGCAGGAAGGAAGGAAGGAAGGAAGGAAGGAAGGAAGGAAGGAAGGAAAAATGAAACCCCACTCCTGTCTAGCATTGATGATATTACCTAGTTGGGGAATGAAATGTCTGCAAGAAAACAACCAAGCTCAGCACCAAGAGACCCTACAACCCTCCTCTTCTTCCTCCCTCTCCTCCACAAACACTCCTGTCTAGCACTGATGATGTTAGCTACTTGGGTCATGAAAGGTCTGCAAGAAAGCAACCAAGTTCAGAGAGCACCAAGGACCCCACTGTTAAACCCTGAGCTACAAATACTGTGTTGATATTTCTCCTGCTGTCGGTCCCACTGGACCGCCGTGAGTCCCATCCCTCTGTCATTCGGCCCCCAAACACTGCCTCCCCTAGGACCAAGCGGGAGTCACACCCCGTGCCCAGCCCACCCCGTTCTCACCGCAGAGGGTAGGTGAGCGCCACTGGACCATCACGCCAGCATGGCGGCACTGGCTGGCATAGGCCTCCAGGACCTCGCAGAGGCAGTTGTCCAAGCCCGCAGCCCCACAGGCGCAGAGGTCATAGACGCAGGAAGCGAAGAAGGGCTCTGGGGGAACGGCAGCGTGGCACCGCTCGAAGGGGGGTGACTTCAGCACCTTGCAGCGGGCATTGGCCTCTTTGCGGGAACGGTAGCCGGATCCTTTGCAAGGATCTGCATCCAGGGCGTCGGCGCAGCGGTCTGAACCTGTAGAGTTGGCGGCGGCCACCTGGGAGAAGAACATGTGGTCTGCAAACGCCGCCTTGCTCTGCTGGGTTGTGGGATGGCGCGGCTGCCTGGTGTGGGGATAATGCCCTGGGGATAAAGGGCCTTTCAAGAGGAACGGCGGTGGTTTGTGCAGTTTGGGAAACGGGTGGATTGTCAGGAAGAAGAAAGGGCATCACTGTTAATCTGGAGCTGGAACTAACTTAAGACTGACTAGATGTCTAGAGTGGCATTTCTCAAGCTTAGCAACTTTAAGATTGGTGGGTTTCCTATCTCAGATTCCCCCAGCCAGCCTGGATAGATGGATTCACTCCCCTTCTTCCCCTCTCTTTTCTTCCCTCCCTCCCTCCCCTTTCCATCTCTTTTCCTTCCTTCCTTCTTTCCTTTCTTCCTTCCTTCCTCCCTCCCTCCCCTTTCCTTCTCTTCTCCTTCCTCTCTCCCTTTTTCCTTCCTTCCTTCCTTCCTCCCTCTCTCCCTCCTTCTCTTCCTTCCTCCCTCCCTCCCTCACCTATTTTTCTACCTTTCTTTTGTCTCCCTCCCTCATCCCTCCTCATCCTTCTTCCTCCCTCCCTCCCTCCCTTCCTCCTCCTCTTCCTCCATTCTGACTTACCTTCCAGCTGTTCCCAAAAGCTGCCTCCGACAGGCTCAGGTGCCCTGACCGCATCCGCAGATCGTCCTGGGGGAAGCTGTTGAAGTTGCCGCAAAGTCCACACAGGCGCCCTTTGTATGTTCCGGGCACACTGACTTCCAGATGTGAGCGGCCGTTCCAGAGCACCTGCAGGTGAGCAAAAAGACCAACGATGTGCCATATCCGGGGCGTGAAGGAATGGATTTGCTCTCTGTTGTCTCCCAGAGCAAGACCAAAGCTACCAACGATAAGAAAAGAGTTTCAGGCTAGACATTCCCGAGCTATTAGTCGGTGGAACAGGCTGCCACATGATGGGGTGAGGTCTCCAAAATGAAGATGACATTCTGGTGGATCAGACCCAGGAGGGTGGACTAGATGGCCTCTACGGAATCTTCCAAGTCTACATCAATATGCTTATAGGTAGTCCTTAAGTTATAGTCATAATGGAGCCTGCCTATCATGCGCTGCAATTGATGACAGTCATAATACGGTCATTTTATGACCTTTAGTGTGGTGGTTAAACAAATGCAGTGGTCGTAAAACAGCCATTGTGGTCATTAAGTGTTGGGATTTTTATGATTCAGGCTTCTATAGTAAGACTAGGCCAGTGGCCAGCTTGCGTACTAGAGGCCTAGGAC